TAGAAAAGGGAAAAGTACAATGGATAATATAAGTATTTTCACAACTGACATACGTATAGGTTTTACAAACAACGATTCTATAGTGGCTGCTTTTTTGGACATCAATTCTGCTTATGATAATGTGTTAGTGTCAGTATTAAAAAATAAATTAGAATTGCTAAACATCCCGTCAATGTTAACTAATTATTATGAACATATTAGAAGAACGTAATTTTATTGTTAGTTTATCTAGTTATTCAGAAATAAAAAGGACTGTATGGAAGGGGTTACCCCAAGGGTCAGTCCTTAGCCCTTTGCTATACAATATCTATACACATGATTTGGATTCTTGCTTCGATAATCATATAAAGCTTTTACAATATGCGGATGATTTGTTATTATATTCAACAAACCGATCAGTTGAGATAGCTGCGTCACATATTGAGTTGGCCTTGATTTCATTACACTCCTGGATGCTTACCAATGGCTTAGATTTATCTGCATCCAAAAGTACAATCGTAGTTTTTTCAAGAATGAGGAATCCCCCTTTATTTAGAGTTCATTATAATAACTTGCCTATACCAGTTGAATCACAAGCTAAGTTTTTAGGTGTGATATTAGATTCCAAGCTCTCCGGTCGCTCCCATATAGATTACATTATCAAGAAAACTGAACGACTATTAAATCTTCTTCGATGTCTCTCCGGTGTCTGGTGGGGGGCTCACCCTCAATCGCTCAAGTTGGTTTATAACGCGCTAATTCGAAGTGTATTGGATTATGGTACTTTCCTTTTAGAACCTGCCAGCTTAATTTCGTTAAAAAAATTAGATGGTATTCAATCAAAAGCACTTAGAATTATAACTGGTGCTATGAGCTCAAGCCCAATCAATGCTTTACAAATCGAAACTTGTGAACCCCCACTCAGTATTAGACGACAATTTCTTGCAGATCGATTTTTGTTCCGATCTCTTCAATTCTCCGACCATCCTCTTTTCCACCTACTTAACTCTCTGAACAATGAAATAACTACAGCTAGCTATTGGTCTCATAAACAACTGCCTTGTTTAATAGTAAGCTATCAAAAATACTTGAGCCTCCATTCACCTATACATCGGCCAAATCGTCTTCCAGTGTTTAATATAGATTATGACGCCTTGCTAATTTCACCATCTGTAAGGTACGATCTGAAACATAACGCTAAAACCTTTAAATCTATTAAAGATTCCGAATACGAAAATTACCATCATATATATAGTGATGCTTCTAAGTCTTCCTCTTCTGAATGTACGGGCGTAGGAGTCTACCACTCTCAGTTTTCCATTGTGCAGAAAAGTAAACTTCCTCCGGAGACATCTGTATTTACGGGGGAATGCCTTGGCTTACTAAAAGCTGTCGAGTGTGTCATTCTCATGAAACTAAATAAATCAATAATATTTTCTGATTCAATGAGTGCTTTACAAGCTATTGATAATTTTCCATTCTGTACAAGATTATATAACCCACTTGTTTTTGATATAAGAAATAATCTTTATAAATGTGTTAAATAGGGTATCTGGTACAATTTGTGTGGCTTCCAAGTCACGTGGGAATTCAAGGTAATGAGAAGTCTGATCATTTAGCAAGAGGCAGTATATTGTGGAGACATGTTTCTTTTTAAAAATTATATCCATGACTTGTTGTTATTGCCGTTGTGCCATTTGCGTAAGGAGTGGCAAACTTATTGGACAAATAGTGGACAAGTAAAGGGAAAATTTTTTTATTATCAAATACAACCTAAAATTATGATGAAACCGAGGTTCCGTAAAATTAAGATCAGTAAGACTGCTACTAGTATTTTAATACGCTCGAAAATTGGTCATGTTAGTACACCAGCACATCTTACTAAGCTGGGAATTGTTAGTGATTCTTCCTGTAGGTGTGGGTCAGACCACTGTGATCTTAACCACATATTGTTTTCTTGTACACTATATGATCGATCCGAATTCCTTAAAGATCTCATTTCCTTACGTGTTTCCTTTCCCACATCCATAGTTTCTTTGCTCTCGTCTAATAACATATCAGTATATCAAAGCATAGCGTCTTTTATAATGTCAAATAATATTAAAGTCTAAATATCGTTATTACTTTTTATGTATGTTATATAACATATATATTTTATATATATTAATATTTTCGTTTCCTGATCCTATTGCTAAAAACCTGTCGCAAATCCTATCCTTTTTCCTACCATCGTTTCCCTACCTTTGACACGGCAAATACACAAACCGTGTGACGCCAAAAGAAGAAAAAAAAAATTTCGTAAAAATTTATGATATAGAAAAAAAAAACAAAAAGAAAACCTTCAAATATATCGATATGACATAAAAAAGTTTCAATAATTTTAGCGAATCCTTACCTAATTTTAGCACCCATCTCTACTCTATATAGCTACTAATCTATTGTGATTGTGAATCATTCTTCTTTACTATTTTCTTCTAAACTCAAAGTTTGTTTGTTATTTATAAAGGTATTAGTACATTGTAGCACTACGCACCACTTGTAGCTCATTTTATAAAGAAAAGTAGAGGAAAGTAAAAACGTAAAAAATACGCACTACGACTTCAATTTCTCTTCTAAATTATTATTACAATTTACTATAAAGTAGGAATGATCGATATTCATCGATGTTTATGAATAAAATATCAATATATCCTTAGGATCATCTATCGTGCTCTAGATGTACTAGCTAGATGATCTCATATATCAAGTTCAACAATTTTTCACTAGATTTCACCGGTTGCACTCGTAACTGGAGTAACCAAACCAATAGTTTTTCTTTGCTTGCATTTTCGAAAGAAGTTAAAAATAAATCTGTCGACTTCAGTGCTCTTTGGTACCCTATAATTAACCGATAACGTACTTCAATGACTACTTCGATTTTATATGTTATTTTGAGAACAAAAATTAATAAGTTGCCCTTAAGAAGATTATGATACTAACTGCTTGCTGATTTTGTTTTGCATTTAAGGTATAAAGGCTTAAGAAGATTTTTTTTTTCAGTGTCGGGTAGCTTTGCATGTATGAGTGATGACTTATGCTAAACCAACTAAAGTTCGTCTCATGAAAGAAGCCCTTCGGATCACAATGTTTTCGCTTTTATTATAAAGGAATAAGAGTTATTCGGTGGGACTTCTTTCGTGAAATTCTAACTAAATTCATTTTTATTTCATATTTCCAATTAGGGATAATCGATTTTGGATAACCAACGATGTTGAAAGCAAAAAAAAAAATCAATGTCTTAACATCGATGTTAACAAATTAATCATCATTGTTAACTCACGGCCTCACGCAAGACCAATGCATTATTTAATACTAGTGGACGCCCGCGACTTCGTCCGCGTGGAAGTCGGTATCCCGTGGGAGTGAGAAGTTTTCCCAGTAAAAAGTACCCTATGTGTTATTCTGATGTATAACCTATATTGCTGTAAAGTTTTATCCAAATCCGTCCAGTAGTTTTTTCGTGAAAGAGTAACAAACATCCATACATCCATACTTACAAACTTTCGCCTTTATAATATTAATAGGATTTGATAATATTAATATAAATTTAAATTTCGCGAAATTATAAAAAGCGAAATTTTGTGTATATAACATATACACATCCTAAAATACATATTTTACATACATGTTTAGAAAAGTTGGCTTGTTTGACTCTATCAATTAAGAAATAGATTAAAAGTTCTTCCTTATCAAAATTATTTTTCCTTCAATCAGTTGATATGAAATTTTGGAATATGTAATGATTTGTTCGGTTTCCTAATAAATTTCGAAAGATTCACTGTATTTTATTTCTTTGTAAAAAAACGTTGAAAGATGTACAATTTTCGATAAATATCGCACATCGATGTGGGCTTACGATGTTGACACCGATGTTAACATCGATGTTTTCCTGATCATCCCTACTATGAAGACAGTTGTTACAAATATAATAATACTCTTTGGTTGTTACTTGTCGATTTGACATATTTACTGGCCTGTGACGTCACGATCAGCGCCATTCCATAGAGCAACGTTTTTCGCGCGATTTTGACTACTTAAATTTTAACAATTATTTTCACCAAAAATAGAAAAGATTCCAATGAAATATAATGACAGTGTGTTTATAATGTAGCAAACAACGATTTAAAATAGTTTTCAGAAAAGTGTCAAATACCCTATTTTAATTGTTAGTGTAGGGGCCACTGACTATATAAAAGTTCTATTGATTTTATTATAATATGTTATTACTAAGTAAACTAAAAAGAACACATAATTATAAACCTTAAAAATATAAAAGTGTCACATTGCCAAATCCTATAAGTGCATAATAATCCACATAAATTATTTGCTAGACAGTGTTAAACAAGTTATGTGCACTTTTTGACTCAAAAAAGTCTTGGTTCATAAATGTTGAGATATTTATGGACTATTACTTATGTCTTAAATAATTGTCTTTGATTCTGCATTATTAGTTTTATATGATTTCCTTCCGTTGATTTAATAAACAGTTTTTTGTTGTTTCCCAGAACCTTAGTAAAATTACATATGTAACTTGTCAGGCACAGCAATGTTATGGAAGCTCAGCTGCCATTCAATCAGATTCTGTAATTTATCTTGTTATAATACAATTTCTATAGACAGTGCAATACTAGAGTAGAAATTACTGAGATTTCTTATTTCCTTGCATGATTTATTCCACTTGCTTGTACCCTACAATATCTTACATCTGGTTTCTAAATTGAGTATTTAAAGTTGAACAGGTTTTTGTTTCTGATTCGGTTTTTTTAATAATCAGTTGGTAACAGTTTGATTTTAGAACTTTTTGCCTTATGAAAAGTAAAAAACATTGAGATTTTGTACTTTTCTTAAATCAAAGAGTTTTTATAGTGGTGCTATGCTTACATGATGTCAGTAGGTCAGCACCACAGTTTCTACTTGTTATTATTGGTGATAGTGGCAAGAAAGATGACCGCATTAATACATAACATATAAATTTGAAATCATTTACATAAAACAAACTATTTTATTAACAACAAATCAGTCCAAAGAAGTAAACAACTACTCACTATCAGAGTTCTCGGCTAAAACCACACCTTGAATAGCTCGAGGGTCAAAAGTGTTTTCAAAACATCTCTTAAATACAGATTTGATCATTGTCTTAGACGTTGGTGATGCTGGAATATTATCACACTCCATTGCATTACTAAAATCCAAATCATTTTGTTTACTTGCATTCAAAGTAAAGTTTTTACTTTGAAGGTTTTTTCCATTGTTATCTTCTGGTATATCAATAAAATCAAATAAATGTGAATCTTCATCTAGGCATTTGGTTATGTCTGTCTCTAAATGTGGTTTCTTTCTTACTGTATTCTGAATACTGTCATCTTTTCTCTTACTTCTTTCTGTTTTTGTAGTGTTTTGAGTAGCAGTTGCTTGGGTTGGGGTATCAGCTTTAGATGTGGCTAGAACAAAATGAGCTTCAAATGTTGCACCATTGTGTACAATGAAAACTACAGGTCGTCCTGTAGTTTCAAAATGAAGTTGTAGAGGCAAATTAAGAGCTTCTGCAAATGCTAGTAAAGCTTTAAATTCTTTAAAAGAAAATGTGATAGTTGTCTCTTCATCAATTATGTAGCTATCAAATTCAGCTGACTTAAGATTTATTTGTGTCCTGATGATCTTTGATAAGTCTATGTTTGAATCTACATAGTTTCTAAGCACAAATGATTGGGTTGTAGCTTCAATAGTGACTTGGTCATCTGAATTTTGGAAGTTACTTATGGCTTCTGATAGTATTCTTTGTGGAGAAGTGATTCTGAAAATAAAGACACTATTAATTACTTATGAATTTAGGCAAGTACACTAATTTAAAAAATAAATAATTAAATTTAATACTCAGCCAAAAACTAAGTGCATTGTAGCAATTTTATTTATTTTTTAAAGTTCAACAAGGCACTATCACATTTCAAAACTAGTAACTACCTGTTAGGTACCAAATCTTTGGTGTAAACCGCTTGCATAGCTTTACAATCTAATATTGTTACGAAGTGTGTCTTCACAATCCCATGTTTACATTTCAACTGAAAGATTAATTTACAAGCATCTGCATCTAGTTTTATCTCTAAGTTTTCAACTTGTTTGTCCATGTGTGTGGGAGACTTAAATATGTTTAAAGCTGATTTCATTGATATCTTGCATTTCAATCCTTCATTATCTTCAGTAGAATAATAATTGTAATTGAAATATGAAAAGAAATTTTTATTGAATTTTACCATAGCATAAGCAGACTCTGCTGCGTTTAGTGTTCTTAATAAAATACTATCTGGTAGTGATTCCAAGTAAAGTTCATCTCCAAATCTGGCTAAAGCGTGCACTGTTCTCCCTAAGACTGAAATGTTTAAATATTTTTCCATTTATTAAATTTTGCACATGTGTATGAATAGCAAGATCTATTGTTTATAGTGATGTACAAGTTGTGGTTGGGTACACTTAATCATAAGATAGGACTCAATCTATTAATTTAGTTAACTAAAAATAACCAGGTGATAGTGAGCTTCCTATTAAGTTATTCATTAACTAACAATACTTTTTGATTCGATAATGTTTTAATTTATTTCTTACATAAATTAATTACCTTTAACGTTGGGCCCCGGTACATAACATTTCATTTTAATGTAGGTGGGCTATCAACACATAACTTATTCTATATAGCACAGCCAGTATCACAGTACACGAATAATCTTGAAACTCGTAAATAAACGTCTCTTTTAGCACTTAATCACAGTCTTATACTGTGACTTAATCGTAATATAATATATATTTATAAAATTAGGATTTCCATTGACAACAACTAACATGACAATTGTCATTTTTTTTGGTTTTATTTTTCCATTCCACAGGGAAGGGGAAGGAAAAGGGTGCTTAGCCCATACAGTCTTGTTATTTGTTTTTTTTTTTTGTTCATTGGTTTCTCTTGTTTGGGGCGGACAAAGAATGTTAAATCCAGCAACTTTTTTATATATCGACGCTGGAAAGCAAACACGTAGTAACCTGCAAAACGAAATTGGATATTTAGAATGGAAAATCTTTATATTTTTCCAAGACAAAATATCTTCTTTCCGTATAAATTGACTAAGGAACACCTAATTTGTTACCGTGGACGTTTATAGGAATTATTTATCGAAAAAAATTAAAGTTTTCTGCTCTAAAGAACAATTTTGGTTTTGGGGGTTACTACGTGTTTGCTTTCCAGCGTCGATATAATCTAATATTAATAATAGCAATGTGAAAAAATAATTAATATAGAAATAATCAAATAATAATCGATTTTATATACTGGGAGGAACAAAATGACCGACACAGCCGAAAGTTTCAAGTTAGGTTACATGCAAACGTTCATTTTATTTGACAAATATTTAAAAATAGAGGCGGTGTAAAAATGGAGTAAAAATTTTAAATTTCTAAGTGTTAACAGCCCTATAACGCGCATGCGCAATATCGATTGTGTGCAGATTACAACGAACCGCGAAATACATTAATTTAATTTAATTATTTACCGATATCTATCTTAATTATAGTCGATGCTGAAAATGTCAACTTCCTCTCTGAAGACTGAGCTAAGCACGCTCTTTTCAATGCCGCGTTTTCACGCGCGAAACACATCACATTTCACACAAAACTAAACACAATCTTCACTAAACTAAACACTCAAGTCGAACACTCTAGTATCTTATTAACAAAAATTCAATTCAAAATGCACTAGAACAAAAAAAAAATCGACAAAAAAGACGCTTCGCAGCGGTGCGTCGGCAGCGATGCGCAACAACACTCCAGCGCAAAAGGTCGGCGGCGACTGAGCGGCCGGAAAATACCGACAGAATAATGAAGCCGCCTGGCGGCTGGCTGGTGGGTGGGGCTTTGATATCGAGGGACGAACTCGGTTCACATTTTTTTTATTCGTCTTTTGATATCACGCATTTTTAGTGTTCTTTTTAATTGATACTATTTTAATAACAAATTCCTCAATGTTTTTTAAAACAAAGTTCATTTGTGTTAATGATGAATCGCTGGAAGATTTGTGAGTTTATCGAGTTTAATTAACGATCCCGTTGTTAAAGGATTCAAACAATTTTTTTGGAAAACTGCTCTTTTAAAATAATGTAGGTTAATGTTAGACTGATCTCACTACAATAATTTAGGAAATTTTACACTCGGTTTCTTAATCGAGAATTTAAACGTTAAACGTCTCAAACTAACATCACTTAGTTTTCGTTTCCGATTTTAGTTTTTTGATGATCAGTTGATAGCAGTTTGATAAAACTAGGACTATTTGGCTTGTGAAATTAAAAAAACTTAGGTTATTGAGAATAAGTAGTAGAAATTTTCTACTTTTTTCTAATCAGAAACCGGCTGTTAGTCTGTAAATCGATTTAAGCATTTTGACTGCCTTGTTTATTGATTGTCTGGTAGAATTTGCATAAAATCAGTCTTATAAATCACAAACTAGTTTATTTCGTTTTTAGAAATGAAGAAGTCAATAACCGATTAAAAACTTTTCCTTAGTACGTCCCAAAAACAGCTGACTCAGGGTTGAAAACACTCATTCTTTTTCAAAAACTTTGTGATTTAATATCTCTGAAACTATTTAATATCTCCGAAACTATTTGATAGTATTCTCCAGGAACCTCGGGAGTGTCGGTCGTTCTGTTCCACCGAGTATGTAGAAATTGATTTAAATGCGTGATTTTATTTTTATAGATATACAATTGATTTGGTTAACAATTTATTTTTAAATAATCATTCAATCAATTATTACCGATCATTTATCTGCAATATAATATTACATTAACGCCATCTGTGCATGATAGCATGATAGCATTCCTTCTGTTTTTTGAAACAGTTGATTTACTCAAACAATCATTTAATTCACTAGATGGAGTCAACGAACTGTACTGTTTTACCGACATTTGGTTAATATTTATGTCATTTTAAATGAATTCGTTGGTTAAATGAAACTTCGGGTATGTTCCGATATACACTGCGACCACTGAACAGTATGACGTCAATTTAGTATACTGGAAGCCCGTTCCTTTATAGCTAGTTATACTGGTGACTTTTTAAAACGGAACGCAGTCCAGTATACTGTTAATCCGTCATAAATTTCCCTAGGGTAGTGTAGCAGTGTACTGGCAGTCCATAACGGAACGGATTTTTAGCAGTAAGACCACTCCGCAGTGCTCGCAGTGTATATCGGAACATACCCTTCATTTTTCAAACAACAATACGGGTGACAACAGTAAACGAAAATAAAAAGATATTATTTTTTTCTGGCAGTCTTTAATATACTTTTACAGATAATCACACTTTAATGCTTATTATAACTAGAATAATGCTTAAATTAATTATGAAAAAATAAATATTTTATACTCATTGTCACCTAACCGCAAACAGCGTGTGACGTAACGCTCTTCTTACTTATATCAGAACTTTAAGAATTGAATCTGTAGTTTTTGTGGATATAAACAATGTAGTAAGTAAATGCCTGTGGAGTAAATGTATAATGTATTTTATTAATAAATATAATAAAATCTTTTATGACCAGTGGTCAGAATTAGGTAGAATTATTCATGTACTTACACTGATTTCATACAGCGAAAGAATAAAGTGGATATGCCTCAAATCCCGAGATTAATTTTAAAGAGCAGAAAAAAACCCGTGATTTTTTAAATAAAAAGTTATTTACTTTTACACAATTGAAACTACTGCACGCACGACGTTGCCAAACTTACATCAATGAAAGAAAGAAATAAAGAAAGAAGAAATAAAAATCCCGGGAAGGTCCACATTTATATCAACATTTCGATGCAAGTACATAAATAACTCTACCTAATTCCAACCTCTGTTTATGACAGAGAAATACAATTGATTTGTTTAAAAATCAAAGTTAAAAATTACATAACAACCAAAAACAGTTTTCTCTATGTAACTAAGTACAAGAGAAAAAAATAAAGCAAAAACCCGCCACGACCGGCTCTATCTTGCTCCACCACGAACAAATAAATGTGAATCTGGATGTATTAAAAAAATTAAAGAAACTATAAAAACTTATTTCACTAGATGGCAGCACAAATGACAGTATCTAAATGTCAATTCATGACGTTAAAACTTTTATATTGTCAATAATAGATTGACTTCCTACTCAATCTACTCTTTTTCTTTTTTATATATATATATTTTTTAATCTACTCTAGAAATCAGTTTTATTGAAATAAATTACTTATTCAGTACCTACTACCACTCAGGACTAACAGTGAGTGAGCGAAAAGAAAATGAGGAAATATTTAAAAAAAAAACGAATGATGTCACATGGATGTTACTCTATTGTCATACACACAAGGGACTAGTATTATAACAGGACTTATTTTTCTCTTTGATGCTCACTGTCACTTCCCGTTATATATTTTTATCTTTGACTGTCACCAGCGTTGCAAAACCTACCGATTTTTCGGTAGATCTCCCGATATGAGCCCTCGTTTACCGAAATACCGATTACGAAGTTATATCTACCGATTTTTAAGTTTGCCGCTGGTTTTTACCACAAAGAAACCAAATTCAATAATATTTTATTATTTCTAGCAACACCACTCTATTTTACTCTATGAACCCTACCCATAGTCTGTTTCAATCACACTTATTAACGAAATTATTAAGCTATCCTTTTCTCGCACGTGTTGTCATCTTGACGTCTTGCTTGGCGCTATGGGGATTCCCCAAGGTTATTCCCCATTGGGGAATAACCTTGTTTGACCGTATGCTACAAATACTATGAACAAAAATGGACGCTATTGATAGCGAAGTAAGATTCATTTTACTAGAAGGGTTTGATAGGATCCAGTAAGGGAAATCCCCTGTAAATATGAAATTATTTCTTGTTTGAAAACATTTCTTATTCGATTCATTCATTCTCCTTAGGAAGATTGAGCGTGTTACAATATAGCGTATTAATTTTGTTGGGGCGAAGTTAATTTTATAATGTCTGAGGAAAGTTCAGATTCTAATGCTGGTGCATCGACTAGTACTGGTGTCAAGCGAAAGAAATATCAACAAAAAATTTAAAAAGAGTGGGAGTTACGACAGGAGTTCTCTGCATGGTTGTCTCCACATTTATCAAAACCTACTTTTGCAATATGCAAATCTTGTAATAAGGAGATAAATATATCGTCGGGGTACGACGCTCTTAAAAAACATGCCAAATCTAAGCTTCACGAAAATAGTGTTAAGAGCTTAGCTGTTCAACCAAAATTGACAGACTTTGTCAGTAAAGAAGTTACTCAGTTTAAACATCAAGTGAAAGAAGGTAAGTGAGGTTTTAATTTTTTTTGCGCCAATTTAAAATAATAGAAATAAGGTATATATTTTTTTGTTTTCAACTTATTTATACCAAACAATAAGTTGTTAAATTAACAATTTCATTCATTTCAGGTGAAATCCGGATTCTTGGGTTTGTAGCTGAGCATAATCTTCCATATAATATTACTGATCATCTTTCTAAATTAGTTGTACAGATTTGTCCAGACTCTAAAGTTGCAAAAAGTTTAAAATGCTCACGTCCAAGAGTGCAGTCTATCGTCGAAAATGTCATCGGTGCAGAGAGTTTCGCAGAACTATGTGAAGATTTGCGTAATATTAAATTCTCGTTGGTTATTGATGAATCAACAGACTTATCAACGACAAAACATCTTTGCATGGTGGCAAGATATGTTAAAAATAATCAAGTACGTGATTCTTTTCTCGCGCTGATTCCCCTTTCTTCAGCAGATGCCACCACACTTTATGAAAGCATTGTAAAGTTTTTCATGGACAAAAATATTCCTTATAAAGATAACTTGATTGGATTTGCATCCGATGGTGCAAATATAATGATGGGACAAAAACATTCAGTGATGGTTTTATTAAAATCAGAAATCCCAAATTTATTCATCATGAAATGCATATGCCATTCGTTTCATTTATGCGCATCTTATGCTGGCGAGAAGATCCCTCGATTCGTTGAAGATTTAGTCCGGGATATTTACAATTACTTCGGTTCAAGTCCGAAAAGAACAAAAGAGTATGAAGAGTTTCAAATATTTTGCCAATTAAAAATTCACAAGATTTTACACCCTTGCCAGACGAGATGGTTATCGGTACATGCAGCTGTTAGTCGGATTCTAGAGCAATATCCTGCCCTGAAATTATATTTCATCGATGCTGCCGCCTCACAAAAGGAGTTGCTAATTGCCACAAATATTTTGCAGAAATTGAACGATCCGGTAACTCTTTTATTCCTTAAATTTTTAGATTTTGTTTTGCCAATCTTTAACCAACTGAACAAAGAAATGCAAGCGGAAGGTGCTAGAATTCACATTTTATACTCGCATGTGTGTGCATCCTTGAAAACTCTGTTAGACTGCTTTTTAAAGAGGTCTTACTTAAATGCAACTAACACTGAAGATGTGAACTTTAAAAATCCTCATAACTTTTTGGATATGCGTGAGATGTACTTTGGAGCAAAAGTTATGGATACTTTACTGAATGATAACAGTTTGACTGCAGATCAGTTGAATTTATTTCAAACAAGATGTCTACAGTTTTATATTGAAGCATCTGAGCAAATTATCCAAAGATTTCCCCTTAAAAACAACCCATTGAAAGACTTAAATATTTTGGCACCAGAAAATGTAAAAAAAGGAATTCACTCAAGTGTAATACCACTTTGTAGAGCATTTCCCGGACTCGTTGATGCGAAAGACTACCAGAACATTGATACACAGTGGCGCCTGCTTAGGAACACTCAAGAAATTAATGTGTTTAAAGATGATGCCGAAGATTTCTGGGCAAATGTGGCTCAAATGAAAGGCGGTGACGGTACACCATTATTTGGACTAGTGACTTCATTCATTTTTAACATTTTTTCTTTACCGCACTCGTCTGCGAACGTGGAGAGAATTTTTTCTGCGGTAAATTTAATGAAAACCAAAAACCGCAACCGCCTGTCAACTGATGCTTTAGTTGGGCTTTTACACACTAAGAGACACATAGGCGGTAGAAACTGCTATGATTTTAATATACCTAAAACCATGTTCAGTAAACTTTCATCGCAAGGTTGGTATAACAAATAATCTTTTTTAGTTTAAGGTACATTAAGATCATAGCAGTTTTTATTTTATTGATATTATAATTTATTGGTACAAAATAAAATCTACCGAAAACTACCGAATTTTTACTGGCAACCCTACCGAATTTGTAATGAGGAAGTATTTAAAAAAAATAAAGAAACTACAAAAATTATGTTACTAGATGGCAGCACAAATTGTTGGATCTAAACGTCAATTCATGACGTTAAACCAAAGATAATAGATTTGTTAGTGTTGTTATGGATCTGATAATTCGGATTAATATCGAGTTGAAATTTAACTAGTTCGAGTTATGCAATCGCAACTCGATTAATACAAAGTAATCTTTGAATAAATTTATTTTTAATTTGTATAGAGAAAAATGGAAACTAACATAATGGAAGTGAGCACAGAGGTTTTTTAAATTTATGGAAATCAATTGAATGATGTGATATAATTAAAAGTGGCATCTAACTATGGTATACAATAATATTACCGCCAAATAGTTTTATAAATAAAATAGGTACTTATGTCATAGTAGAATTTTTCATTTACTAAAAATAACAACTAGGTTAGTTAGTTTTATTGCTATTAGTCGTTTGTTGAACTTACAACAACAAAACTACATCGAGTCTCAATAATATTTTTATATTATGTATGGTGAATGAATGAATAGCATTTATTAATCAGCAACAAAAGTCATAAAAACAATAATTATTATGAAAAATCCGTTTATTATCTATAAACTTACCCGATATGTATCAAATATACTATGTATTCGTACAAAATAACATAACTGCTGGCTAAAATTACGTTTGTGCAAAGTGTAACGTGCAAATAACTTGTGCTTTCGAAATTAAGACTTTATAAAACTATTATCAGTTATTAAATCTTATATTCATAATTGAATAATCTTAATAAACATTCAGCAATTAACAAGAAACGTCTGCTCTAAACGAACAGCAAGGTTATAACTTTAAATTTCAAATGTCTAAGACACGTACAGTTATTATATTGCTACTAATCTTGCATGTCGACGGCGGACGTCGAGCCATGTGTTAAGTTAATTCGTACGGTGGGTTTGTGCTTTTTGTTTCTTACAATAATATTGTTAATAATAGTTTGAATTCCTACACAACCTACTCTAGAAATCCGTTTTAATGAAGTATATTATTTACTAAGTGCCTAGAGTAGTTATGGTCTCTTAAAATCTCTGCGGTGGTATCGTGTGCGTTAGGTGGTTACGATCCCTCAAATATAGTATAGTTGAGTTGTTTAGTTGAAATTAAAAAAGCAGCCCTTGCTGAGTTACTTGCCGTTTTTTGTCAGTACGAGATCTCCCGCCTTAGTTTTGCGAACCATTGTTAAAGTTTTCGACTTTCCCAAGTACTATGTAACAGTCTAGATTGAATTGATTTTGATATTTATGTTAATATCATTCGTTTTGTGGATGCATAATGACACTTCATCTTCATCATCATTTTTGTTCTCCATTCCAAACCTGAATTCGACGAAAGTTACGAGCAACCAATAAGTTGACACATCACTAATGTTGACGTATCAACCAAACATCGTTCCTTTACACGTAACATAATAAACAACTTAAACTTACAATTAAAATAAATTAAAATTAGTTTGAATGTGAGATATTATAAGAAACACAAAACGATGTCATATTTATTAATCGAAAATACTCAATTTACATTTATTACGTCAGAAATAAAATTTGAATGAATATCATAAACAAAATCCAAAAATCGCGAGTGACATCTAGTATGATTTCAAGAACTAATTTTTATTTTTTAAATACTTCCTCATTCTTGGGGACACTTTGGCGGGAAGTCAAATAGAGCGGCAGCTTTAAAATTTCCTGTTATAGTAAATTAATCTTTTATTGGTTTTTGTTGACTAAAAACATCATAATATTGTTGTTTGTCGTCGAGGATGGGTTCCCACAGCGATGGGGAGGACCTAGCAGCAGAAAAAAAGAAGAGAAAGTATGGAGTTATATCCAATGACACAAGTAAGAAACAAAATGATAAATATAAAATTTACACCAAACCGAACTACAAAAGGCTTTTTTCTGAAAATAACACAGGAGAATTCACCGTGTACGTTGAGTCCACGGAACAAGAAAAAATAGGAAATAAAAATCCCATTACATTAACCAAATTATTTACTGAACATGTTAAAGGTATAACTGGCGTACACAGAGTAAACGCACACAAAATTGGAGTTTCTTTTAAAAAAGCTTCCTCGGCAAATTATTTCCTAAAAATGGAAGACTTTTTATACAAACATAAAATGAAGGCGTTCGTACCATCTTATCTCACGGAAAAAATCGGCGTACTTAAGTATGTCCCTAAAGATATGTCGAACGAGGAGATATATAAAAACATCGTATGTGACGCAGAAGTGATCTCCATCAAACAATTTATGAAAAAGTCTAACGATACCCTCACACCTCTGACCACAATTGCCGTTACATTCGCAACAACATCCTTGCCTCAGTATGCGTATATACAATTATTCAGGTACCAAGTACACCAGTACGTACCTCCGGTCTTACAATGTTTCAAATGTTTGAAATTTAATCACTCTGCTAAAGTGTGTAGAAACATCCAAATGTGTTCATCGTGTGCTGGTCAACATTCTTACAAAGAGTGTGACGTCGAAGAAATTGTTTGCATTAACTGCAGTGGTAACCACTTGGCCATTTCAAGAGACTGCCCCATAAAAAAACAAAAAATTGAAGAATTAAGGAAGAAGTATAACCAGCAAAACTATGCCACTGTGGTGAGTTCTCCCCCACCCAAAAATGACCAAACATACCCACCACTTACAAATATTAACAATAATAAAGACCATTTTGATATTAATTTTATAGCTAATAATGAAATCATTATCAATGCCATTGTAAAGTCTCTTGTAGCTCTAGGCAATGACCGTGACAAAGCACCTTTGACTTCAAAGAAAATAAAGGATACATTTTTGGGTTACTTAATTTAATGGATAGTTATATACATATATGTCAGTATAATATACAAAGTTTACAGAGCAAAAAACCTTTATTACAAAAGTTACTAATTGAAAAAGATATTGATATTTGTCTCTTAAATGAAACCTGGCTTACAAATTCTTCCAATATTCCGAACTTTTCAAATTATAATTTTATTTACAAAAACTCTATAAATACACATAATGGTGTTGGTATTCTAGTTAAACATGGTTTGAAATATGATATTTTAAATACAAAGTTTCATGAAACTATTCAGAATATAGCCATTAGCCTTAAAACACAATCAGGTGATATTTCTATTCTCTGTGTATATTGTCCACCTAATAGTAATAGATTTGAAGGTAATAAACTAAAAAACATTGTAAATAGATTGCCTAAACCTTGCATTATCATGGGTGATTTTAATGCACATCATATAGCCTTTGGTTGCCACAGTAACAATAATAGAGGCAATAGTTTGTTCAACATAATAGATGAATCTGAATTATGTATTTTAAATGATGGTACTCCAACTACATGTCCTTATCCTAATAGAAATGCTTCTGCCATAGATTTGTCACTTGTCAGCCCCTCCATAGCCCACTTATGTAATTGGCTCGTCCAGGATGATCCCATGGGTAGCTATCACTATCCAATTTCCCTTCATTTAAACATCCAACGATCGCTGTTTGAATTTGGTCCTGTTGAAGAAAAATATCTCTATAGTAAAGCTGATTGGGTTAGATATTACCTAGCTAGGAAAAAGGGAAATGGTCAGCTTCAATTACATAAAAAACCAGTCCCTTGGTGGAATAAAAAATGTGATGATGCAATATGTAAGTCAAGGCAGGCATTAAGGAATTACAAAATGAATCCATCTATTGATAACTTTATTGAATACAAAAAGGTAGATGCCCTCAAAAAACGAGTAATAAAAGAAGAAAGTAGGGAATCTTGGAAAAAACTATGCAATAGTTTTAACAGACTAACACCTATTTCTAGGATATGGCAGTATATTAAAAAGTTTAAAAGAATTGGTAGTCCTGATAATAAACATTTTGAAGATGGATGGATTCTAAGTTTTATTAACAATTTGTCTGATTCCACTGAAATCAATGAAAACAGAATTTTCAGCTTATTCCATATTGCTGAAGAAAATTCTTTAAATTCCTTTCTAAATCAACCATTTTCTTTTAATGAGTTTACTAAGTCACTACAAAGCAGGAAAGACACAACACCAGGACTTGATAATATACCATATATATTAGTTAAACATTTACATAATAATGCACAACAGATTTTATTGTATATATATAATAAATTGTGGCAATACTGTATAGTACCGGAATCTTGGAAAACTCAATGTGTCATTCCAGTTTTAAAGCCAAATAAACCACACAGTATTCCCTCTTCTTATAGACCAATATCATTATCATCCTGTTTAGGAAAATTATTTGAAAACATGCTCAAATTACGTCTAGATTATTTCTCAGAAACCAATAATTTAATTCCTCCTATTCAGCATGGGTTTAGAAAAGGTAGAAGTTGCTCTGAGAGTTTTGTATCATTTATACAGGATATTAAAAATGTTAAACTAAGTCATTCTAACATGATCTGTGTTTTTTTGGACATTAAAGGTGCTTTTGATAATGTCAACATTGAGGAACTTGTTCAAGTTTTATGTGATATAGGTATGCCAAAAAAAATATTACAATGGCTTCACACCTTTTTAAATAACAGAACAGTCTATGTAAAATATAATAATAAATTACATGGTCCTAAAGTTGCTAATAAAGGAACAATGCAAGGAGCAACACTGTCTCCTTTATTGTATAATTTGTATACTTCAGAAATACTCAAATTTGTTAATACTGAAAATGTAAATATACTACAGTTTGCTGATGATTTACTCTTGTATAGCATTAATCAAGATTTGGATATAGCCCAACAAAATGTCAATACTGCCTTAAAACAGTTACATTCTTATTATAACAATAAACTTAAGCTA